GCCCCTAAAGTTCCTAATCTTTCCAGTTGCTGTTGTCAATTTGATCCCATATAGATAGTTCCTGAAAGAACATAATGCTCAAGGGAGACGCTCTTTACTAGTTAAGTTAAACTACTCTTTGGTTTTTAAGACTTCAGGGGATATTTTTGGTTTAAGGTTTAAAGATTATCTCAGGGCAACAGTTTCATGCATTCATGCAGCCTCCATAGCTCTAGAAATTCTGGATTCCATTAGAAGTTGAAATTCTGTTCTGTATTTTCTCCCTTGTCATCACGATTCTTCCATGGAATCTTTGATCAAAATGTTTAGCAGTGGGTACCCAGGCACCATCCAGTTCTTCTGGTCTCATGGCTAAGTAGGCAGTTGTTCATGTAGGCAACTAGCCACACATTCCATTTCCTCCTATTCCTGACTCTCCTTCTTCCTCTATTACTCCAGGTGAATAGAGACCAATTGTTGTGACTTGGATGGCCACTTGCAAGCTTTTAAGACCCCAAGCACTATGCAATGAACTAGGCGGTGGAACAGAAGCACTAAGCACATTGTTAGGCCAATTAACTAGGATGTCCCATGAAATCATGACCCTAAACCTCCACACCAAGGAACCAAATCCCATGAGGTGTTTGGTTGTACATAAGCAGCCTCAGCAGCTTTTTTTTGTCATTGTTGTTAATATGTCTATCATACAACTTTTGCCAACAACAAAATAAATAAAAATTTTAAAAAAAAGATTATGTAGGAAACTTAGGGGGCAGTGGGTTTATGTTAATGCAGGAGGAACAACTCAGAAAAGGAGGAGGAGAATGGTTGCCCAATTCAAAGAATGTTATCAATGACAATGAATTGTACATGCAGAAACTGCTGAATTGGTTATGTTCTGCTGTGTATACTCTCAACAACAACAAAAAATAAATTATAAAAAAGCAAATTATTTCCTTGGGGGAACAAAAATCCATCTACTTTTTGTTGGGAGTCTCCTTTTTTATGATTAAAAAAATAAAAATTTCAAAATTCAAGAAAAAATACATTTGTCAATACTAGCTAAGCCTCAGAGACTCTAATATGTAATCACTTCTGCTTTCAGATTTAAAGTGATTCAGAAGACTTCATGCATAACAGACATTTTTAAGATAGCTAGCAGTCCTTGCCTATAACACAGTTTTAGTCGTCTGGGTTTCAGCAAAAGGAGCCAATGATAATACAGTTTATAACACCCCTTTCTATTGTGTCTACAGTACTTATTATCTACCTTATTGGTTCTTAATCTTCTTCAGGTTAGAATTCCTTAGAGAATATGACAGCTATAAATATTCCTCCCAGGAAAACGCATATACTAACATGTAAAATTTTACGTACAATTTCAAGTTTAGTTAAGTCCATGCATAGGATCAAGAATCACAGTTCTAGCATTCATCTCAGTATGTATTACCTTGTATTGCTATTTATCCCCACCCATGTATGTCCTGGCTCAAGCAGATCAAAAATTGCTCGATGGTAGGGATGCAATTTATAATCCTCTGTATCCATAGCCCAGGTACATTACCTCACCCAGAACAGAGACTTAAATACATATTAATAATTAACTCTTAACACAGGTGTCCACTATGGGACATATTGTGTCCACTATGGGACAAGTAAAGGACTCTGGTGGCACAGTGGTTAAAGTGCTCGGCTGCTAACCGAAAGGTCTGCGGTTAGAACCCACCAGCCTCTCCATGGGAGAAAGATGTGGCAGTCTGCTTCCGTAAACATTTACAGCCTTGGAAACCCTAAGGGACAGTTCTACTCTGTCCTATAGGGTCGCTATGAGTTGGAATCGACTCGATGACAATGATTTGGTTTTCTTTTACGGGCCAAGTGCTGTTCAAGAAAACAAGTACTCAAAGATGAACCCCCTGCTCAAGGAATTCATAGTCTAATAGAAGAGACAGATAAGTAAATATATGATTATAATAGTGAAAAAAACGCCAAAATGAAGGGGAGAACAAATAGAGAAAGGAACACAGAATAGGGATTCATGAAAACTGGTGCTCTCAGATTTCTAGGCTTGGTGGAGGAGGGGAGGAGAGTTAGGAGATTAGGAAAATGACACGGAAAGCTTCCTAGAAGTGGATTATGTTTGAGCTGAGTCCAACAAAAACAAAATGAGTTATGAGTTAACCAAAAAAGAAGTAAAAACAGAGAAGAAAAAAAGGAGCGTCGTCCAGGGAAATATCCCATAATTATTTCTCTACTATTGCTTCGGAGCCCTGGTGGTGCAGTCGTTAAGAGCTATGGCTGATAACCAAAAGGTCGGCAGTTTGAATCTACCAGCTGCTCCTTGGAAACCCTATGGGGCAGTTCTACCCTGTCCTATAGGGTCGCCACGAGTCGGAATCGACTCGGCAGCACCTAACGACAACAACTATTGCTCCATTCCTATAATTAATGAAACCCAACTCCCCAAACACAATGCGCACATACTGAACACACATTACTATTAATTCGATACTTGTAAAAGACCTATACAAATATGTTACAACAAATAAATATGACCTTCCCATTGAGTTCTTTAAAATGAGATTTGGCCTAAAGCACCAATGCAAATTCAGTGTTTACCTGTCCAAAGACAGAAGTCAAAATTACCATGCTAACTGAATCACGTTAGCATATTTAGTCTTCTTATACAATGAGATTTTTGCATTTTATAAAAGTGACGAATGTGTGTCAGTCAAGTTTCAGTTCCAGTTATTTATGAAAAACAGGTCTGACTCCCTGTGTCATTTCCTTCTTCTTATTCCAAGAAAAAGGTCTGGATTCTACGTAAATGAACCAAGAGAGGTAATTACTGCCAGATGGTATGAAACAAGTTAAACCCAGGGCTTCCAACTGGTTCCTTCTGGTCTGAACCCCTGTTGAGAATTTCATTTCCACCCCAGATATACTTAATCAGAATCTACAGTTTAACAATATCCCCAGGTGATTCTCATGTACATTTTTGAGAACTGCTGCTCTACTAGTGGTTCTCACAACTGGTCCCTAACCAGCAGTATTAGCATTGCCTGGGAACTTGTTAGAAATGCAAATTGTGAGCAGGGGTTTGAACCTGAAGGAATGTGTTCAAAGCCCTGGTTAAACCTCCCCATTTCCTTTGTTAGGCTGAAGGCAAGTTAATGGTTCATTTTTGTTATGTATTAGACTACTGATAACAGCACCATTAACTCTGATCATAGTCAAGCATACCTTTCAGTGAAAGACAATTAGTAACTAATTATCTTGTTATTGGAAATCATACAAGGTAGGCTTAAAAACAAAACAAAACCCATTGCCGTCGAATCAATTCCAAGTCATAGCGACCCTACAGGACAGAGTAAAACAGCCCCAAAGGTAGGCTTAGGTAGAACAAAAATAACTTGCATTATTAGAGTAGGGAAGAAAAACAGTTTTATAGCTATTGCCTCAAATCCTTCCAAAAGTTCTGAGACAAGTAATAGCAATTTATACTGTATTGCCAGACTTAACATGTTAATTTTTTTTTTACAATTTAGTAAGCATTTCCATTTCATTTTATCTTCCTGAGAGCATTATAAGGTTGGCATGTCACTTAGTATGTTTTACAGATGAGTAAACTTAGCATGACTTTCCCTAATCAAACGTTTCTTACGAGTTGGAACTAGGATTAAAAACTGATCTTCTGACTCAGTTCAGTGCTCTTTCCTTTATGATGCTGCCTAAAAATTAAAATCATCTTCTGTACAATTACACTTTCATAAGTTACCCTTTAAACTGCACTGATAACGGGCTTTCTAGTCATCCACTCTGTTCATGAAATGAACTCCCTCTGCACCTTTTCAAGGGTTCACATTTTAGACTTGGTTTACCTTGACCCTGGAGGCGCAGTGGTTAAGAGCTTCGCTGCTAACCAAAAGGTCGGCAATTCGAATCCACCAGCTGCTCCTTGGAAACCCTCTGGGGCAGTTCTACTCTGTCCTACAGGGTCACTATGCAACATGTTTGTTTTTGTTTTCTGTTTTTTGGTTTGGTTACCTTGGCCAGTCAGTATGTGTTATAATGTCATCAATTTTCTCAAGATAACTTATATAATTTAATCCTCTCACCAAATGTCTTTCTGTATTTCAGGTTTACAAACTAATGAAGCAAAAAAAAGCTTTAACATGGGCTATCAAACAATCAACATTAGCCACATTTTGTAGTTTTGCCATGTTTCATTCAATAGCAAGATACCAAGCTACTTTTCTACAATGCCAACTCCTGAAAGTAGGTGGAATTACAGCAGCATAGAGATCTTGTGACGGTATTTCAGTTGAGAAAAACAATTTAATCCTTCTCAAATTCAGGGGTTCACACAGCTTGGCTCCAAATCTCGACCTCATTTCTTAAGTGGGAACACAGACATGCAGTAACTGATGAATTTTATAGTTTTAGAGAACCTTATGACTTTCCTCATATGTTAAATCAGATTATTAACAGTTTATTAATAAGCGATCTTAGTTTGGAGAGCTGCGTATGAAGCACTTTATCTCATTACCAGTCACTTCCATGCAAAAAAATAAGTGCAGTTCAATAAACGCTATTTACCCTCATATTACATTCAAAACCCACCCCTCCACTTCAAACAGAGAGGGGCCACTCTTTCCACACCATTTCCCCTCGATTTCAAAAAAGAGGATAAATAAACTAAAAGGACAGGAGACATTAGCCTTCAATAAGGGAGGGATCGCGCTCAAGATTCTTCTCAAACCAGTCCGGCGACTCCTCTGACCCCTCCCAAAGCAGTCCCCATTTGCCCTGATTCTAGAATGGCGGCAGCTATAAGAAAAAAAAAAAAAGAAGAAAAGAAAAAAGATGCCGGAGCCTACCAATCTGCGTCAGTGCCAGTGCCCGCATCCCTCCAGGACTGGACCAAAAAGGTCACCACCAGGCGCCTCTCAGAGCCCCAGTCCCTCCCCCTCCCCCCTCCCCTAGGCCCTAACAGCAGCTTCTCAGAAGGGAAAGGATACTCTCCATATTCGACATGGTCCCACGACTTGTCTGGGGAGGCGAGAACCGAGGGTAGTGGCACCGGTTTGATGAGAGGGCGTTCGGAGTGCCGTTCTCGTCCTGAACTGAGAACCGGCTCAGCGCGTTTGTTTGGAATCCCACTTCCTGTTTCTCCTCCCAGGCCCGCTGATGGGTGGAGCCTTCTGGCGCCTGAGGGGCGGGGCTGGGGCGGTGCCAAAATGGCTGCCGCGAGGATAGGCGGTTAGGGTGGGCTCGAGTCGCTTGGGGGCGTTGGGGGGCTCGAGGGCAAAAGATTACGCCCCTCCCCCGTGCGTCCTTCGCGTGCACCCTAGTCTAACCCGAGCGCCTAACGGTTTTCCTCACCCAGCTAACCTTCTAGTTCTTTCTTTTGTCGTACTCTGAACTCTTCTTAAGCTTCCGCCCCACCTCTTCCCTCAGATTTCACACTATCCTTGGCCCCTCATCTCTTTTCTCAGAGCTTAAATCTTAACGGATGAAGGAGAAAGGTATAGGGCTTTTGAAGTACTTTATTATTATTATTGTATGAAGTAAGGACCTAAGGGGCTAGCAGGGTTGGTAATTTTGAGTTGGGAGGTTCAGTTGAGGTTTTAAAAAGGATCATGATCCTTAAAGTTTTAGGGTAGACCAAAACCCTAAGAGATAAAGTTGCTTCGAAATATATATACCTACTAATTACAGTTTTTTGTTGTTTTTAGGATAGATGGTGTAAGATACGAAAATCAGAAAATCTATAACTATAATGGGAGGGAGGTTAATCAAAATAGTAAATAGTAGTTGGCGTTTTATATGTGCTTTATTAAAATGTCCAAAGGTAATTCACTAGACGCCGCCATCCCTAGACTTAAGCGAAGCAAGGGCATCTTTGGCGTTGGTGTAGCTGCATTTCAATTCAAAACTCTTGGAAATTCTGATGAACAGCTAAGAGGTATTACTCTGGAAAACAATTAACTACCATAATTATTTTATTCTCTTACTGAGGAATTCGAGAAGTTCGGCTTTACATTTTTTTTTTATCTTTAAAATTTCAATATGTGGAGTAAATAATGAGTATGTAATCGGATAAACTTTTTTATCTTTAGGTCGTTTCATATTGAACCAAAAATGGTTACAAAAGCTGTGGCTTTACTCTTTTTGTGTTAATGATGATTGGTAGGTTTCAGACTGTTACCTAATTATATGCCCTTAATGCTTGAATAAGGTTCTGGGGAGGTACAATCTGGAAACTGCTTGCTTCCATAGTTGAAACTGTAAAAAGGTTATTTTTATTTTTTTATCTCACTTTGTACATGTTTGAGATGAAAGACTTACAGAGACAGAAAGGAATTTAACAAAACATAGCAGGTTTCATTGTGATACCCATTGTTTTATCACTTTCCGTGCTAGATAATTGTATTTCAATGAAAACGTTTTTGTTATAAAGGTAAAATTGTTTAAGAAGGCCTCAGAAATAACTCTTTCCTAGATGCTTAATGTTTGTTAATAAGATCTTTAAATAAATCCATATATAAACCTGAGCAGTCCACTAAAGTTTAAGGATTTATAAGTTTTTGAGTTTTTAGAGTTAGGTAACCTGTAAACCTTTTTTTAAAAGTATTTTAAAGTGTTTTGCATATTGTGGAAGTTCTTAAGAGAGGGATCCCTAGGAGGGTATCAATTGCTTAGTATTAAAACCTGAAAATATCTGTTTCAGTTGGGGAGTTCCTTATTGATGTCCATGTTAAGTAAAAAAAAAAAAAAATACATAACCTATACCTTTGACATACTAACCACTTAGAAGATAAAGAAGCCTTTTTTACTTTTATGAGTTGTGAACTAATTATCACTCTAAAAATTGCCCTCATATTTTTTTCTAGGATGTCTGATTTCTGAAAGCTAGGTTTAGAAATATTTTCTTGATCTTAGGCCCAGTAATAGAACAATTTAAAGTATATGTGTATTCAGTTAAACCTGTTGCTGTTGAAAACAAGAACTTGAAATGTGTTAACATCATAAACTTGTGTTATTACAGAGAAAATATGGAAAGGAAATACTTTTAATAGCTTTTATTAAATATTGAATGCCTACAAAATAATGTTTATAAAATATGTGTAAAAAATAAAGAAAAGCAGTATCGCAAGCACTTGTGACGTATAACTCAGTTTAATGAAAAAAAAAGATCATTTCCTCTAAAGTCCCTTGTATACCCCATCTTGGTCACATTCCTTTCCTTTCGTCTTTAGAGACAACTGCTGTCTTAAATTTATGTATTTTTCCCTGTTTTTCTTTATTTACCATAGTATTGCATCCCTAGACAGTATGTTGGTGTTTTTTGTTTTAATGTTTCTGAACTTTGTGTGAATGCAATTATACTGCTTCTCTTCTGTGAATTGGCTTGTAACTCATCATAGTGTTCCTCATCCATGTTATTGCCTATAGCCGTGGTTCACTCATTTTCACTGCTATAGAGAGTATTCCACTGTACAAATACATCATAATTTATTCATCTGTTCTCCTGACAACTGATTTTTGGGTTGTTTCCAGGTTAATGTGGCCTCCAAGAATATATTAGTGTTATATTAACACAAGGAGCCCTGATGGCGCAGTGGTTAAAGTGCTCAGCTGCTAACCGAAAGGTCTGTGGTTTGAACCCACCAGCCACTTCACAGGAGAAACGTGTAAATCTTCCGTAAAGATTTACAGCCTTGAAAACCTTATGGGACAGTTCTACTTAGTCCTATAGGGTTGCTATGAGTCAGAATCGACTCGATGGCATCGGGTTTTTTTTTTTTTTTTTTTTTGTTTTGGCTATATTAACACATACACTTAGGGTCAATAATTTATTTTATTTCCCTAAACACATCAGGATGAAATCTGGACATGCTGATTATATCACAGTAATGATTAACGTTTTTAAAGCCCAATGTAATCATTAAAAATATAATTTGACTCTCTTGCCCCGGGGACAATTATTTATTCATTGTTATATTTATTCATACTTCTTATTGTTTTGATTTATTTTGGCTCTTAGGTTTGTTTCTTCCTCAGATTTAACAATACCTCCTACCCTGTCTCACCTAAATAAGCAGCTACCATTTTCTCCCTTCACCGTTAGAACAGGGCTATAATGATACAGGTAATAGGTGTAGGATCTACCTAATTGTTCTTTTGGGATCTAGTTAACTTTAAATATGAAGCTTTAACAGAAGCAACAGCAATTACATATTGACAATCTCAGATATGGTAAATTTCATTTATGGATACTTAGAAGGATTTGTTTTAAAGGATCTGTAAAGTTTTGACTGGGATAAGTAAGATGCAGAGAATCAATACAGCAGCAATTGGATATGTTAAATTTTGACATGAGCAAAGCTAATGTAAGTTTTAATAACTCCTCCAGGAAATTGAGTTATTTCTAAGTTCTCTAATTGTTTTGCAGTCTAGTGTGTTACAAAGAATAAATCTCACTTTTTTAGTTAAAAAACATTTATAAAAACAGTTGTAGTTGAGAATCTAAATTGCTTAATTTTTAAAATAGAAAATAGAATGGGGAACAGAAGTGTATTTAAATACAAGAGGAACGGGTTTGAGTAGTTGACCTGAGTGACCTGAAAAATTATCCTGTTTATAATTAGGAAGTGAGAAATGAGCACAAGGCGACAAGATGAGAGGCTGAAACTCGGACTCAAGAGAATAGAAAAAACAAGTGAAAAAAAGTAATAGTCTACATATTTACTTTTTCTATAAGGGATAATTGCCAATATTTAATCATTATTTTAATAATAAAAGGTAATATTTGGTGTTATAGAGTTATTAGAAAGAACATTTGTCTAGAAACCTTTGATGTTAACAGAGCACTTGAGACTTTAAAGTCTCCTTTACTGGGAAACCTTTTCAAAACTTGAATAATCAAAGTGATGATATTTTGTTGTCATTAGCTGAGTTCATTGATTCTTAAGGGTGGTATGGTGAGACAGAATAAAGCACTTACCACTATTAGAGATAATTTCCCACTTTGGTGTGATTCCAAATTAGTTTTTGGAGTTGTATGATTCAGAGATTGTTTAATATAGGCATAGGTGCTCATAGAGAAGCACATTTGTAATAAACCTTTTCCTTATCTCTATTATTTTACTGTCCAGGAGCTGTTTGAAGAAAAAGCAAACATAAGAGCCTTTTATCAGAAGGGTGGATGAAGGCAAGGTATTTTTTTTTTTACTTTTAATAGAGCTATTAAAATACTGGAGTCCCTGGGTGGCACAAACAGTTAAGTGCTTGACTACTAGCAGAAAGGAGAAAGGTTGTCAATTGGAGCTCACCCAGAGGTACCTTGGAAGACAGGCCTAGGGATCTTCTTTTGAAAGGTTACAGCCTTGAAAACCCTATGGAGCAGTTCTACTTCACACACGTGAGGTTGTCATGAGTCAAAATCAACTCAACGGCAACTAGCAACAACACCACCATTAACATACTGTAAAGACTACTAGCCTCACAGACTCTGAGCACAACAGAATGAAAACACTGCCCAGTCCTGTGCCATCCCCATAATCTGTTGGGGATTGGCCTGTTGTGATCCGTAGGGTTTTCACTGGCTGATTTTTGGAAGTGTATTTCCAGGCCTTTCTTCCTAGTCTGTCTGGAAGCTCTGCTGAAACCTGTTCAGCATCATAGCAACACTCAAGCTTCCACTGATAGAAGTGGTGGCTGCACATAAGGTTCATTGGCTGGGAATCAAACCTGGGTTTACCTCATGGGAGGCTAGAATTCTACCACTGAACCACAAATATCCACACACAAAGACTACTGCACCTCTGTATCCCATTTTACTGGCCACAGAATGTACACACTTAGTTCTGCTAATAAAAGATACTACTTTTATTTTCATTACTTTCTTAACCACACTTCATCCTAGAGTAGAGTCTCAAGTCAAAGTTCTATGAAAGTCATTCCCACATTTCTTGGTACTTTATCTGGTACTTGGCTAGAGTAGGGTCTAGCATGCTTTGTTTATTTCAGTCCTCTAAGTTTTAGTATACACATTCTCTGATTTTTTAATTTTTTTGATACTAGCTATAGTATGATTCATAATTCTTACCTCTAGATCAGGGTTTCTCAACTGACACTAAACAGTTATTTTGTTGTTGAGGGC